TGAGTGTCTATTGTTGGGGGATTGACGCACTGTATTATGTATATTCATTTAATGAAAAATGTGCCCATCAAAGAATTTTCCCTATGTAATTGGGTTATTTTATATAGGCAAATATATTTTGTCAAATCCAAGAAAGTCTCAAAGTGTTGAATCTAGCAAGATTTTTTAGCTGCTGTGAACAAGTTTAGAGGTAACAAGTACAATATTTCATGTTTATTTTTCCTTCCAACAGTTATGAATGCAGGAATGAGGAAATATTTCCTACAAGCCAATGATCAGCAAGATCTAGTAGAATGGGTAAATGTGTTGAACAAAGCTATAAAAATCACAGTAAGTATTTGGATTTTTTTTTTTTTAACAATTTTTGAGTGTCTGGAAGTAATCTTAACATTTTGAAAATGTACCTACCAAATGTCCCCAGCTTTCTGTCAGGTCACATACTTGAGCTTTGTTTAAAAGACAGATGTTCAGAATGAAATAGTTCTCTTGTACCTGGTGACCATCAGACATTTCATCAGCCCCAAATGCATTTCACCCATTATGTACCAATAAGGATATATATTATTGGAGATTTTAACCACTTCTTATGTTGCTGGGGGAAATACATGTAGCATGCAGAGTTCTATCTTGAGGGCATGTTATTTTTTTCTTCCAGAGTAGAAGAGGCTTTCTGCCGGGTATGTACCCAGGTGATGGTAATAGGCCTAAGCCCTGATAGGGCAGGAGTTGAAGATGGGAGCAAAACAAAGGGAAATGCAGGCTAAGAAATGAGGTACAATATAGGGATCCGGTGGGAAGACTGTGGCAGCTGGATGGTTCTGCCCAGGTGGCCTTAAGGAGTTGATCTTAGGCACTAGCTTTCTAACCTCTCCTGTGCCTTTTCCTTGAGTTCCAGAGCTTGGTACTCTTTGGACCTTCCTCTACTCCTACAACCTCTTTGCTTCTGACATGAACTTTTTTTTTTTTCTGTTGAACATTAATATTTATTGATTATTTATACTATGACAGGCATTGAACTGAAGGTTTTACCTAAAAACCGAGGCTTAGAAAGTTGAGTGACTTGTACAGGTTTCAGAACTGGTGAACTGTGGGACTGGGAGCCTGGGGATGGTCTATCAGGTTTTGGAGCTTAGCTAGCTCTGAAGTGCAATGAACAAGAGCCTATCCTGATGTTTTGTTTTACTACTGATGCTGATGAGCAAGAGCATAGGGTGCACTCCTGACTGACCTTGCTACACCTTTATCTCCTTCTACACTAACAGAAACACATTGTAGGCTGCCTGGAAAGGCTTGGGAAGGAGTTCCTGTGGGATTGTGTCAGCTGAAGGGTGGTTTTTTGTTTGTTTGTTTGTTTGTTTTTAAGTTGTAGTTGGACACAATACCTTTCTTTTATTAATTTATTTTATGTGGTGCTGAGGATCCAACCCAGTGCCTTGCACATGCCAAGCAAGTACTCTACCGCTGAGCCACAACCCTAGCCCCTAAAGGGTGTTTTAATTGTGTGGTTATTTACTGGCTCTAAACAACTTACTCTTAAAGAACAAAAGCCCAGAAAGTCAGCTTGTTAGTCACTTGTTAGTTTCCTTCTAAAATGAATGATCCCACATTTACATTGCAGCAGAAGGAGTTACTGTAGCTAAAGCTGTTTTCACAGGTCGATTGAATTTTTTGTCTTCAGAACAGCCGGTTACCACATGATGGAAAACGCCCACATGTACTGATTTGTACATGAAGTTATTTTGGGCTTGCAGTTTTAGGAAAGGAATATTTTGAACTGATTCAAAAGTATGTATATATTTTTAAAATATTTATTTTTTAGTTGTAGGTGGTCACAATATCTTTATTTCATATTTATGTGGTGCTGAGGTTTGAACCCAGTGCCTCACATGTGCTAGGTGAGCACTCTACCACTGAGCCACAACCCCAGTCCCAGAAGTATATATTCTTAAAAAGTTTTCATTGATCATTTTTACCTCAGTAGATACTCTCTACTTGAAAAATAAAGACAAGGGGCTGGGGTTGTGGCTCAGAGGTAGAGCGCTTGCCTAGCATGCATGGGACACTGGGTTCGATCCTCAGCAACACATAAAAATTAAATAAAGTTATTGTGTCCACGTATAACTAA